ACATGGGAATTTTGTTTTTTTTAAAAAATTATAATAATAAAATGCTAAATGTTTTCAGTGGGGAATATGCAAATCAGAGTCACATTACATGAAGTATTTAAAGGATGGAACAAAGTAAATTCTATCTCCAGAGCTTAAAGGAGTGTTTAAAAATGTGAAACATGAACAAAATGCTGCTGCTGACAGCATGAGTAGCTCAACAAGACATTTATAAACATGAGCAACTGGTTGTTCATCTGTGAGAAGGTAATTAACTTTTTTTGTACATTGTTTGCTAATGTTAAGCTCGGAAAAAGCTTGAGTTGCTTAATTATGAATGCGTGTGGTGATAAACTGTATGCGAAGCAATGTGCTGGCAGGGGCTTTAAATATTGATACAGCCTTATTATATACGTGATATTTTCACCCTCCCCTCATTTCTGTACTATACTCACTCACCCACTTTTCTAACTGTAAAATGTGTCGGGACACATTTTCACTCACAGCCAACAGGACTGTGTCTATTATTATTCCTTCTGTCTGTGGAAAACGTGGGCTTTAACGTCGATTTATCTGTTGCTGCCTTGAAATAACTCTTCAGACCTGATGTGTCTGTTGTCTTTACCTTAATGTTTGCTCATCAGGCAAAAAGCCTCATGTAATGCTTCACTGTGTAGCCGTTAAAATGATCCTGAGTTTGTCTGAGCTTCGCTTCCTTCACACCTCTGCCTCCTTTAGGAAGTCATCCGGAGTTCATCTTTAATATCAAAGCATATCTAAATCCCGCCACGTCTGCAGTTAGAGCTGAACTAGAACCATTAGGTGTTTCCTGGAAAACACAAGCGTGGTTCTTGTTAGGCCACAGACAAACAACAAAACAAATGGAGTGAAGGAGGCAAAGAGGTCAACTATTAGGTTTCTTCATTACTTTTTGTTTTGGAGATTGTTTTATTATGGAGGTAACCATTCAGATCTAGTGGGTTAGAATCCGTTACCTGTCCCTGATCATAGCTTAGAACATATATGGAAGGATAATATCTAGGGAAGCATGAATTCAATCCAAAGTATCAGCCAGACCTGTATGAGCAGCTCTGGCTAAAAGTGGGCAGTTTTCTAAAAACCGCCTAGATTGTGTGCACATAATGGACATATTATATTCAAATGCTCTAAAAAAAATGTTTTCCCTAAAAATGCATAAATCTTTCATCCAACAAAAGGTCGGTCAAAAAGAAGAAACCGTAGCAGCCACAGGTTTCTGTTTGTGACAAATATATATCCTCAGCACCCAGAACCAAAGACAACAAAAGCTTTCGCCTTTAATTTTTACAGGAATTGATCAGTTTATGGCGTAGAACAAATCCTCTGACAATTTTTTCTCCACATATATAACCAGAACCACATTCATATATGGTAAGAGCCACATCAACAATGAGTCATTTTTGAAATGGAGTGAAATCATCAATATCAAGGAAAGTGGTGTACATAAAAACATGTACCGGTATTGTGAGAGCTACAGCTGTACTTCCATAGTCAGGGAGATGTTTATAAATATCTGCATTTTCAAGGCAATAGATTATCAGATGGGTACTGTAGCTATGCTGCTGCAGCAACATATCAGTGATGACCCGAGGAAACTGATGGACATAATGAAAATGTCGACCAGATCCAGAATTAAAACATTTTCTCACTCGAAGGACAGAGATGAGAAGAAAAAACAAAACATGTTCCGCTTAAAATACTTTCCAGATGTCAGCTACTTGATCTGACTAATGACAAAGCAACAGAGGGCAGATAAGAGCCAGCAGTCAAAGGCTGAGGTCCATCTAAACATGCTGTGATCTCCACAATCAATCACTTTTAAAGTTCTCCTAATGGTTCATCTCTTGCCCCGAAGCTGCCAGAGGTGCATACCAAACAGTGCAGCGTCACATTCACACAGTTGAATATGATTCATCCCAACTGGGGATGTAAACATGCTCCTTTCCTCATTAACTACAAAAACGCAGCCTCTGAAGGCTGAAACTGCACAACCAGACTGCATGGAGTCAGGCAAAAAACATATCAAAGCACTTCTCTGGTTTAAAAGTCCAAAAGGCTGGATTCAGCCGACATGGGTATCGTGTTTCATCACTAAGTCGTAGTGGGTCAACAGGTGCGTTTGGGAGAAAAAGGGGGCCTCATGCATGCTGATGCACAGTTAGTGTTCATCTTTCCTTCCTACGCATTCGTGCTTTCATTAGCACAAATCAAGTAATACCTGCTGCTTACCTGGTTTACCTAGTGCTGGCAGAGCAGGAGGCATCATTGGAGCCTCAGAGTTTAAGCTACTAGGTGTTAATAAACGTGCATCTTTTCAGCTTTTTTCATCAGCATCAACAGCTTTGGAAACACATGGTGTTTGAATAAGTCTGATAGGTAAAGAGAGCAAAACATTCAGCTGATGACCAGAGAGAGAGAGACTGGCAGACACAGGATAACGATCTCTACATGAAAAATGCTAGCTGATGTAACAGCAACAGATCGAGGCGAATTAAAGACTGATGTGGCCAAAAGTTCGGCTACAGCTCAGTGTATTTTAATAACTTAACAGGACACAAAAGACAACTTCCTCCTTCGTGTGCAGTTCCACTTATAGAGACTGTGGAGAAGCTTGCAAACATTAGGCATGAATGAAGACGATTTATTTAAATATCAAAGACAACCTGCAGGAAAACTCCCACCAAGATATTCCTGATATTCAGACTCTATTGATCACGACAAAGTTTAATCAGCGCTCACTTGTGGCTCTCATACATACATTCATAATCAAAAAGGAGCCTCATGTAAGAGCAGGGGGACAAAAAATCCACATGCACTGCCTTAAGTGTGAATCATTTAGCTGAGAGCACCTTGCTTAAACTGAATACATCAAACAGTGAGGAAAAGCTGGCTAATTAGTTCTCATTAGAATAAGAGGCAGCCTTACAACCGCATTAATCCAAAGTTAACAATTCAGATCAAACCAGAATTTTTGAAAGGCGCTCCGATAATGTCATGTGCACCCACTAACCAAAATAAGGAGAAGGCCGGTGCAAAATCGCAGGGACGACATGTCAACGACTCGCTAGTTTATGCTTCCTGCAGCGTGCTCAGCCAACGCTGTCAGCTGTGGTCTTAAGCTACACGCTGCTGGGAAGAGATCATAGGGGGAGGGGAGCCAGACAAATAAGATTGAACTCAATCTTTTGCTTTCGCCGTGAAGTAGAATTGTGTGGGTGTCTCCCATCTGTGTGATGTTGTCAGGCTCGTAGGTCAAGCCACTTATTGTAAAAACCACAGCTAAAAAAGGTTAGAGTGCAAGGGGGACTTGCTGACGAAACCACAAATGAGTCATCTGTCTTATTTTTTTCTCTCTCACCATCCGATTGATGATCTGAGCAAACCGAGCCACGAGCAACTCGTCACCAAAAACATTCCCCAGAGGAGGAGTAGGTGTCACCGTACACAAAACTGAAAGGGAATCCCGTCATGATGAGCATTGCTTTCTAAGCTGTTTCCCATAAGAGAAGGCGCTACGCTAACATCACACGACATGTATTCTGCATCAAGTTCAGGGGAAAAGCCTGGGACATCCAAGGCTGAGTTAATATGGCGATAAATCTGTAACCACATGCAGTTCTGGGAATATGACCGGTTTTCAGAAAAATGAGATTATGATGTGATAACACTACACTTGTGCAGATAGGTACCACAAAAACATATCATTATCATGAGATGTACAAGTAAAAATGCATCACCCAATCACAACAAGCATAACTATTCTTGAAATTTTACCATAAACAAACCATTTCAGATAATACTTAGAAACTGAAATCTCCCGTTTTCATTATTAACAAAAGTCTTAAAATCAGATTTTTAAAAAGGAAAAGTTCATTTTAAGCCAGCCTTGACTGTAAACAGCACAGCTGTGAGGAAAACAGCTTAACAAAAAAAACTCCTTTTAAACAGCTTGTAACTCTTCAGAGTTCAGTAAAACCCCTCAGTGAAAGTGCATGACAGTGATATAACTTAAAACAACACTCTGCACTTGACAGAATAAAGGGACTACAACATTATAAAAAAAAAAAAAAAAACAGGACTGCAACATGAAGATGTAAGTTTAACCCATTATAGGGCAAGTTACTGTTTTGGATCAGTTGCATTCCCCTTACAAATCGTGAGATCTATATCCAGCCATCCAGCAAAGATAATGCTACATGATACATCTTATTTTGGAATTGGACCAATTAGATGAACCCTTGAATGATATATAACCTATTGTAAATTAAGTAAAAATGAAAAAAATAACAAGCAAAGAAAAAAAAGGTAAAAAACTAATCGCAAAGTTGAAAAGTAAAGTTAAACATTATATTTGGGTTTATAAACTAAAAAATGTTATTGCAAGCATCAGCCTTAATGCCTCTAAGGTTATGTTATGCCAAGAAAAAGTGTTTTTTTCACTCTCTTTCACTTTTTATTTTTCTTTATACATGACAAGTTGGCATTACATTGACATTCATTTTTGCCTTCAAAATATCCATATTTTCTGAATGTTACAAAAGTAATAAGGTCTTGTCCTGGATTCCAATAACACTACTGGCTTCAAATTTAGATTTTCAAAGTATTTCACTGAGTGCCCACATGCCAATAAGGACATGCATGGCTATAACCGGACAATTATCCAATAAATCGCACCATTTGAACAACCCCTGCAATTTAACAGGTGAATATTCACTGTTTACTTTCTCATGCTGCTCCAGATTTCATTGAAAAATATGATCCCCTCCATCTCTACTGTGCCATGCAAGCATCACATCGGTGCGATTTTCTGCAAAATTGACAAACTGTAGATGGATCGTTTCTGCAATCAACAAGTATCCGCTCATGTCGATCAAAGTTGCCATTCCCATGGAGAGCGATGCAAAGCAGCAGCAAGGCAAGGAGAAAGGGAAAAGAAAAGGAATAGAGGCTGAAACGAGAGGAAAGACGGAGCGCTTGGTTACCTTGTGGATGTGCCCTTCCTCACATCGCAGATGCTGCATTTGAAAGCCTCGGCTGTGTTCTTGTAGGTGCACACGCTGCAGTCCCAGTAGCCGTCGTCTGCGCTCTGTTTGGCTTGTCTTTTCGGCCTTACAAATGAAACAGACGATTAAGGTCAAATTAGGGTTAACGAATGCCACTAACGTGTTTCAGTAATTAAAGCACAGAGGAGGATGTGACACATGGAACCTGCTGCTCGGTTATACGAGCTGCTCGGAACGGCACAAAGCATGGCGGGGGTTGTCATTAACACCGGGTTCGAGTCCCGGGCAGTTTTATATGGATCCACAGCCGGCCGGGCGACTGTCCTCATCGTCCAACTGTATCGCCAGCTAGGCTAGCAGCGGGCTGAGGAGCGCTGCTAAAAAAAAAATTCGGTACCGAAGCTTAGTGGGTCGGCTGGCGAAACCCATACAGAACAAAGCCCATTTCGACAGTGACCCTCCGAAAGGTTTCATCGAACCAGAGGAGCGTTACAGGGAATGCCAGGCGTTTCCTCGGAAAAAATTCTCTTTGTCTGTTAAGTGACTGGCTCGCGAGCCGCCATAGTGACTGCACTATTCTAGCTAGCTGTGGCATACCAACTGAAAAAAAGGGGAGAAACGATCCCTGCGTGAGAGAAACGCATCCAAACCTCGATTCCAGAAGGCAGAAACTGAAACTAAACCGACCGAGGGTGGTCGCATTACCTGGTAGGGCTCTTTTTGTCGCCCATGGTGACGAATAATCCTCGAAAATGAGAAGAAAAAGGGGGCCTCCTTTAATTGTCAGTGAGTGAAGTAGAATCCAGATAGAGCCGCTGCTGAAGCTGTTGGCAGACAGGCTCCACTCAGAGCTGGCTCGAGGCACGGCACAGCGACCGACTGCACGTGACCGGCGCTGGCCAATCAGCGCGCGCAAAGGTTTAAAAGTCTACATGGATATTTAGCGTCTATTTTAATAACTTCTAGAGATATGTGACAAAGCTGTCCTCTAAGCCACACTTTCTCACGACCTGCAGACTGAGAGGCTACAATTTAAGATATAGTTAATTATTATTGTGTTGAAGAACTTAATGTGTTTTTGAAGTTTATTTAACTTGGATTTAAAGAGCCAAAAAGAAGACTAAAAGAACTAAAATAAAGCAAAATCTTAAACCACGTGTCAACGCTCAGCGGAGTAAACAAAATGTATGTCAAAAGTGCAACAAAACGAGACATATTACTTAAATTGAACCTTGCCCCCCCAGAAAAAAAAAACAAAAAGCTTTAATTATTTAATTGATGTTAGATCATTTGGTAAATGCTCATTTATATAATCAACTAATGCAAACTAGTGCATTGTTGTGAATTAAAAAGCAAGCTGCCTGATTTTTCCAAATTTTCACAAAATTGTTGTGAAAACGCTTTGTGCTTTCGGGCCTCTTTGGTCTGACATTCCTAAATAAAATCAACTGCAATCACCTCCTCAAGTACTAAAAGTGGCCAGGATTCAAACATGTTAGCAGAATTAAATCTTTTTCAAAGTTTTTGCTTAATTGAGGTCCACCCCAAGTGTTCCTCAGTCACACACAGGTTCCGGATACCATATGTTATAGCTTCCTTTTCTGAGAGAGGTAACACATGGAAAATGTTTCAGCCTGTACTCTGGAGGAGCTGCAAAAACCTACAGCTCAAGTGGTTAACTCAACAAATCCAGCCTTCATAGCACAGTGGCAAGAATAAAGTCATTATTAAAAGAGAAAAAACATTTTAACATGCATAGTTTGTAACAAGCCAATTAGGGGGCAGAGAATACCTGCACAGTTGGATACAACCCAAAGAAAATAAATAAACCTCCCTGTATAACACTGGAGGACACATCCTCCCCACAGTAAAACACAGTGGTGGCAGTATGATGCTATGGAGGTACTTTCAGTGATTTAGGAATTTAAAAGTGACGCCTGGATCAGTGTCTAGATGTAATTCCATTGAGACTTCAGCAAGACTTCAAATAAGGAGATTCACTGATAATCTCTATTAGGTCAGACTGAGTAAAAGTGTCAATCTTCAAAGTTGCTTAGGTAGTAGATATATTGCCAAAAACATTACATGTCTTTGAATTTTATACGTTAAAAAAAACATTAAGAAAACACCATTTATTTAACTTCCACACACTGCTTTGGGATAATCTATCAAATCCCAACACATTGATGGTTGTAGATGCAAAATGTGAAGAAGTTTAACAAGTAGTGCTACAATGCAGGATAGTTTAACTTTCTTCCAAAGACTTTGTAGAACATTCTTAACTACTCTGTATGGCCTAATGAACCCAATGGTCTTTTTGTGCTCACAGACAAGCAGTTTTTTTCTGCAATATGCAGAAGATCTCAGTTCACCCTGCATCAGCAAGCATCCCCCCCCCATTCCCCTTCATCTTCTGGGCTCCAGCAGGCTGCGTCATGGAATGTGTTGGCCCAAACACTACACCTCCACTCTGCCCAGGACCAGGCTCCCTGCGGGGGCAGACCGAGCGTGAATCATGTAGGCTCATTAGCTGCTCTCCACGACTCCGGGTCGTTCAGCGAATCCCTTGATTCCTCCTGTTCGGTGTGAATATAACTTCCTCATCCATGTTCATTTGCCGTCCTCCCAGAGATTTACCTTTTTTTTCTCAGCTCGCTGCATGCTGCTCTAATTGTGCTTCATCACGGTGGCCCACTGATAACTACAATTCAGTCAAAACAACATAATGCTTTACCTCACTGGTTCTGTAATGAGCTTCTGGGGTCTTTTTGTTATTGTTGTTTTTTTAATTCGCAAGCTGCAGTTAATACCAAATGGAGTTCATTTGTATTCACTTGAAAAGCACTTGCAGCTACATATGTTCGGCTTTTTTTTAAAGAAAGACCAAACTAGCTGAACAGAATGTTTAATTCACAGATGCAACAGGGAGGAGAGGCATATTAAAAGAGGCATTTAGAAACATTTATTGAGAACAGCTGGTCTAAAGGTGAAAGAAGTGCAGATACTTTCCTCCCTCACTGACTACACCCCCGAGCATGGTGCTTACATTACTGGGAGACATTTTTTACAAGCCAAACAGTTAGTCCTCATTCATTATTTATGAGAGGTGTGAAGCTCAAGCAACACGGTGAAACAAAGCGCTCGTGGCCCGCACCGAAACAACTTTAGAGACATTTTCTTGTGTTACAAAGGAGGATGACTAAATTCCCATTCATGCTGGAGAGGAAAGTGCAAAATGTAAATCTTCTTCAGGGCTTCAAGAAGCTTCTAGTAACTGTCAGGGTGTTGGTTTATCTACAATTCAGCTCCTTCTCAGTCTGTCTGCAAAGCTCGTCTCAGAAGGAGTCCTGGCTGGTAGTTTTAGGCAGGACTGAAATCCAGGGAGCTGCTGCAGAGTGTGTGGTGGGTGAAGATTGAGGTAGCACTGCTTTCAGGCACAAAGATGTAAATTTTGTATTATGTGCAGAGAGATCCAAAGGTCGGGCTTACACTGCAGCCCAAGCTCCAACCAAACAGAATCAATGCTGGGCTGTAAAACAGATTCAACTCTGTGTCCTTAAGGATTACAGAGGAATGCCATAGGCTGCTTTCACACGCATATTAATTCGATTTGAATCCCAGTTTTAATCCATTAGGTTTAATATGATGTACTCCCGCCCATGCAGTATTAACAGTTTTACCTCCTCCGAGAAGGGTTTAAGGGTTTATGTAGGGGGCTTAGTGACCATCCCTGCAGAACACCTGTAAGGTCAGACGCTGATGTGGGGCCAGAGGGCCTGGCTCTGGTCTTATGAGGTCCTGAGTCTGCTTTAGCATTAAGATCCTTTCAATGGAACTAAAGGGCTGAGCCCAACTGCAGAAATACAACCCCACACCATAACCCTTCATGCATCAGCGTTTCATTCGTCACATGGTGGAAGAGCAGGTGCTGTGCTCAATTCAGCTGCTAAACTCCAACTCTTCCTTAAGTTTTCCAGACAGAAAGGCTTTAGTAGTCACTGCAGAGAACACACCCCTGCTCCAGAGGCAGCATGGGTTACGTCACTGCATCCGATGATTCAATTGCACATGGCTTGGATGCTGCTGAACTGGCCAATAAAAACCTGTTATGTGAAGCTCTCATGTCGTGATTCTAGAGCTAATCTGGAAGCCATGTGAAAACTGAAGGTGTGTAGTAATTGGATTTGCAGAATGTTGGTAATTTCTGTGCGTAGTGCCCCTCCACAGCTCTATGATGTTATGTACCACCTCATGGCTAAGTTGCTGTTGTTTCCAGTCACTGTCATGACACCATGTTGGAATTCACTGAGCTCCTTTGTAGAATCAGTCTGAGTGGTGGATTATGCATATCTATGGCAGTGGATGGCGATTGGAACAACCAGATTCAATGATTTGGAGGAGTTAGTGAGCACTTTCAGGATTATAGTCTGTAGATTGATTCTGCAACCTTTTACCGCGGTTATCAAGTATAACAATGCAGGCTTGATGCATTTAGAGGAGGCAGAGTTGGTATCCTGTTTCATTTATAACCTGCCTTTACAGGGGAGTCTCAAACGTTCCAAAAACTGATTCTGTTCTTATCTCAACCCAGCTTGGACTTCAGGCGTATGTTTGAATGGCAGAGCAAACGGGGGTGGGGCTTTGTGGCTTTTCGACCAGCTAACAAATGCTTCTCTCTCAAAGTTTCTCTGCACATAAAACCAGACACTGCAGCCCGACCCGAACCTGTGGTTACTGTTCACCTTTCACTTTCCAAACCTAATAATGCACAACTTTTCACAACCTAAACCTGAAAGAGTCTAGATGCTTAAAATTGGGCAAATTGAAAGATCTCCTGACCAATGTGTCTGATGCTTCTCCAAGTTTCTGTTAGAGGCAGAGTGAAATCAACACAGCCATACCTTTGATCACAATTGCAACAATGATAAGGGAATCAGAATATCAGATCTTAGATTAGATTAGATTAGATTAGATTAGATTAGATTAGATTAGATTAG